GGTTGGCATTAAGTTTATGGAATCTTTTCATCTATACGTACACTTTCTTTGCAGAAGATTTGTTCTTGGATATACTTGGGACAACAAATTTTTGCTAATTGTGATCATTGTATTCTTTATATTCTCATCCTTTTTCTGTGGAATGCGAAAGGCTAAAAATACATTTGCATCAATTGTTAATCATCTTATTTTATAATATCGAATAAGATTTTATTGTCAGTAAAAAATTACTTTTATTATTAAACGAAAAACTTTAAATTTGCTGTGCATGAATTAGAAGAGTTAGAAACTAACCAGATATTATACATAATTTATGGGAGGGAAAAAAGGCTCCCATTTGCAAAAGATTGTGATGGCAAGATATAGGAATTTTAAATTGACAGAATCCAGAGAAATGAGATTTTTAGTCCAAAGGGGCTTTGTCTCTGAAGGACTATTGTTTTCGTTTTGCGATTTTGCGTTGAATCACTATAAATCTCCGTTTCACTTTTCAAACTGTTGCCACCAAATGTTAGAGTCCTGCATTATATTTGAAGAAATTAAATAATGAAAAATCTGCATAAATGTATGTATACTTATCGCATTGTGATAAAATAGCGGTACACAGAGCCATCGAATTTTGAATGGCGTAATCCTCCTACGAATATGGACATGTGGAAGACCAAATTTGAAATTTGGAATCTGTGTATCGGAAATTCTAAAGATATGCTCATTTTAAAATTATTTTGCGACATTGCTATTGAACTGAATTTTATCGTTTAATAAATAAAGGTAACACACAAAACGTTAAAAAATCGCCCCTTTGGACATACTGAAACCTTTCAGATTTTTTTTATTTACTTATTTTTAAAATTTTGTTCTGCATTAAACCATTATCATGAAATCTACGTAAATCAATTATCTAAGAAAGCTTTGTAGTCAACAATGTCTAGGCGCACTGGAAAGGTAACTTAATCTTTTCCTTATTTCCGAGAAAATTTTATATGAGGCAATAATACAACTCATTTCTTAAAAATAGTTCTATCAGGTTTTAGTAAAAAATCAAGTTTTTTAAATACAGGGACTTCTTCCCCCATACCTTCTTTCCATGGGAATAAATTTCCTTCCTCCTTGCTTCATTCCTATCGCTCTTTCACCACGCCAACCGGAAGAATTGGACTGGAACTCTTATTCACGAAGGTCCACGCTTTCACACGCTTGCCTCGAGAATTTGTTCTCTAAAGCCTGAGTGCCAGTTTGTCACCATTTATTACTAATAAGGCTCATAATAAATGGCTTGAAAGCGTTCGTCCGGCAAAAGGTCAAAACAAAAGTATTCAACTTCTTTCGCTTTTTCTGCGAACTTACAAGTTTTGATGTACATAATATGATGGTAGAACATTTTTTTTTTTTTTTTTCAATTTCTTTTACATTACACATGCATATGTAATGAAAAAGACTTGGATATGCATGTGGATGGCGTAGAATGTTGAATCCGTAAAGAACAAGAGGGTTGGCAGCCGAGGCAGTTTATATATTCATCTTTACTTCAATTCACATTTGAGGCCACAATTCACTTGGCACTCTAATCACTTCTATTCAAGAACTTATACATTTTTGATATTGTTGCAATAAGAAGAAAGCAGCTAGCAGCATCTTAGCGAGAACAGAGATTGAAGCAAAAGTGCGCAGTTATCCAAAATGGAAGCTCACCCAGAGAAAGTTTCCGTTTAGGTTCCGAATTAGTTACGTCATCAGCGTTATTAAGTCATATGTATGGATTGATCTAGAAATGACGCAGTCGAGAGAAATTTTGATGCATTCCAGATGCTAGGAGAAGGGACATATAAAAATCTAAAGAAGAACCAGCACAACTGAGATATCCAAATTCACAGTATTCCACCTTAAATTATCATCAGATTCAATGTTCATGTTAGGAGCAATAACTCTCCTGCTATTATTGATACTGATAAGCAGGTTAATGTAATTTCTGAAAATATTTTAAGTTGAATTGATAATTTTGAAATTATTGAAAATGAAAACTTCACAAAAGTTCTTGTCTCTATCTGGAGGTCTTTCTGTCACTAAATTAGTTAAGTTGCATGCAAAGTTAGAAGAATAAGCAGAAATGTGATATTTTATGTTGTTAATTCTCATTTGGGTTATTTATTGTTGTCTTCATCTTGAGTTCCCTTGTTTAAATTACAATTGAACTTTAGTGACTATGATGTGTAGCAGTTTAAAAGAAATATAAGCAAAGATTTATTTATATTTTTAAGTATAGCTATATCTTAAGTAATCTAGACCTATTATTTAAAAAATGTAAAAAAAAATCATAGATAAATCCTACAGTGATTATTCGCCGCCGTAATGTAGTGATGTAGAAAAAATATCTTTTAAGAATGTTCAGAAATAAATTATGCGTTTACTCATCATTCATCCTTCTCCTACGCAACTATGCCATCACCACTGGTCATCGGTCAAAGGTTCCTTCCATCGTCACTAATTATACTTATTTTCATTATGCACACACACATATATGCTTTTAATTACTTTTATTTAGAATATTTATATATATGTGTATGTGTGTAAAGCAGAACAAAATACGATAGCTGCTTTAAAAATAATTGGTGACCTTAAAATTAACATTCTAGATTTGGTGCTCTACCCCTAAATACATCTGTTCTCCCAAATTCGAGATTTTTCTCTGTTATGTAACGCTACTGGAAAAAGGGCAACTAAAACTAATCTTAACCAATCATGGCTTGTCTCTAGTTGTTATTATTCTGCTTGCTTCTACATTGCTAATATCTTCCCGCTTCGCTTCTTTAAAGTGCCTGCGTCTTAATTTTAAGAAACCAATGTACATAGCAATTTATCATATTTCATTATGATTGAATTAAAGAAATGTATCTGATTTTATTACGATTGGATAAATATCTACTGAAATGATTTTATATGCGTGGATATAAAGACTGGAAATTCTTCAAGCAATCAAGTTCATGTTTTGTTATCTTCATCTGTAAGCTACAATGACTGCAAGCTAATTCCCCTTCTATGCTTCAAAAATATTACACACACATATATATAAAGAAGCTATTTTTTAAAAATTTAAACGTATGTAGTTCAGGGGCCCCTATGCATAAGCAAATCTTGCATACCCCTATTTACGCCATTGAATTCTGTTAAGGATTTTAAGATTAAGAAATCTTTCTGGAATATATCAGGCATTTTTATTTATTTATTTATTTATTTATTTGTACATTATGAAGTCTGAGCTTCGAAGAACCTACTTACAATCAATGCACGTATTCACATAACTGCCAGGCTCTGCCCCCATTTTTACCTAGAAATTCCTCATGGGTATTTCATCCGATGTCCTAGTCTCCCGCTAGATAACCTAATTTCCCGGTTTTTAGTTTAATTTCTACTAAGGAAAATATTGTTCAGCTGTCAATGAAATTTGTTGAATTAATGAAACTTAAATTGTGCAAATTCCATTCCCTCATACCTAATAATTTTCAGGCCTGATGACTATTTCGTAAAAACCATTGACTAAGTGGAAGATTAAATGCAAATTTTACTGTTTTACTTCAATATATAACGAATTTCCGAATATCGTTGTTAATGAATGCAAGGATAATAGGGGAAAGAAGTAATCCTGCTTTCGCAATGATGTTGTTTCTTTCTACTCATTTAATATTCTTCCAATTTTGTAATATCAGTATAAATTCTTTTCCACGCATAAATTAGCACTTAACTGTTAACGTATTCTAGTCTTTAGCAATGAAATTCACTGTATCAAAAATCACAAGTTTTTAAAAGGAAAGGGTGGGAACTGCAAGTTTTTTCCATTTTTGTAATCAGTTTCATGACATTTTAAGGGTAGGGTGTTAGGACAGTCTATAAAACACACAAAATTAGCAAATATTTGCACACAAATGATCAGGAATTTAGTATACTAGAACATAATTTTTATATTTGAACTACTTGAACTAGAAGGAATATCTTAAACCTAGGAAGGAATATCTTAAATAGAATACCTTATCTAGAAGGAATATCTTAAATAGAATAAAAGGAAAAATATCTTAAACCAGAACATATCTAAGAGATTTTAAAGTCTGTATAATATTATGTTGCTCCAGTTCCTAAATGCAATTTTTGATAACAAAGATGCAATCGAATTTTCGTGTAAAATACTAATAATCTTCTTTTTATCTATAACAGGATTATATGTACGGAATTAAAAAGAAACCATTATAAAAATGCATTAAAAGTCAAATTTCTATAACAGGAATTTTTTACTTGAAGTCTATTAGCATTTATGTTTATCTCAATTTAAATTAGAATAGAATAAGATAAATTTTTAAGCTAAGATAAATACACAGTTGGCTAATAATTTGCGTTACAGGAATTAATTGAAAGATCTTTCGTTGGGAAGCCGCCATCTTTCACTGTATCCAAGGGCAGAAGAAATATTTTAGCAAAAGTGGAAGGACAGATCAATATTTCCTCAGAAGCTTGTGTTTATCAAACTAGTTCTTTTTTCCTTTCCCCCTCTTTTTTTTTTTTTTTTTGTTTTGTTTTGTTTTGTTTTGTTGTTGTTATTGATTCTGATATCACTCTGCAATTTACTGCTAGAAGTTATCTGATAAGAATTCCAGATTGTGTCACATTGGTTAGATTGCATTAGTCGGTATCATCGAGTTCCAAGGCTAACTGTACCATTATTGTTATATTAGTATTTTTTTTTAATTAGTTTAACTAAGAATAACAGGTGCGTACGTGTACAAAATTTGAACTTGAAAAACATCTATTAGAAATGCCACGTTCTGAAAATGAAACAGAGAGATTTTTGCTTACGATCTACAGAAGTGGCTGCTTTTCATTGTTTAAAAAAAAATGCATGCATATAGTGTGTTTATGCAGCTTTAAACGGAGCTTTAAGAGTAAGTCGTACAAAACTGAAAGTTGAAGAAAACAACATTTTTATTTCTTAACCTATATACAACGTTTGGCATATTCCTATTTCTGCTTGATTCCTTCCTAGAATTCATCTTTGGGAACAGTGTTTAAGGATCTGGTGTTACGGTTTTCTGTATTTCTTCAGTGCTGTTGAAATAGCAATTTCTTGTCATAAAATTAGGCCATCTTGGAGGGCCGTCACTTAAGTACGAGGGCAAGGCCGTATTTCAGCGCCTCCTGAAAATATAGTAATTTTTGAATTAAAATTAAATTAATTCCAAGAAACTTCTATTTATTTAGCTTATTAAATACAAAGTGTATTGTGTATTGAAAAAAATTGTCTAAAAAAGTAATTTAAAAAACGAATTTTATTTACGAAATATTTTGGACTAGTTTATTATAATGTACTATTAACTGCATTTTTATTCTCCTAGCTCTAACTGTTACAAAATTCTTAATCAGATCTTTTGCAAAGTCCTTGCATGTCTGAAATGCTCATTTTCATTTTCTGTTGATATCATTGAGAAATTGCAGGGGCTTTTCGAGCATTTTTTAGACGATTTTACTTAAAAAATCCTCTTTATATCGATTTAAAAAAATCGTCTGCTTGGAAATTTTTGTTTTAACCACAACTGTATTTTTGAAAGTATAAATTATCGTCTGCTATTTCACAATTTTGTTTTCATGCAAAATGGCGCTTTTAAAGAAACAATGTAGGGAAAGCTATGTTTCTGTTCTTTCCGAAGAAAATTATTCGCATCTGATTATTCAGAAACTCTGTGAAAGCCATGGTTTTTCCTTATCTAAAGCTACGATAGGTAGTAGTGTCAACAAGAAAGAGGGGGGGGGATCAAAGTTTGGCTTCAAGTGGAAAAATTATTCCAAATACATACTATCAAAGGAAAAATGGAATATTTCGAATGTTGCAAAGTGAAGATCTTTATCGTTAAAAGAAAATCAGTAAAGTCAAAGGCCACCTGCAAAATCATTAAAATGCTCCGTGTCAACTATAAACAAGGTGAAATGCTGATGTGAATCTTAAATTCGGGGGAGGGGGGACATAATATGCATCATCGTCTTTCACTGTGACTTATCGCGAACGCAGAACGCGCTGCAGAATTCTTTATGAGAAGCATTTATCTGGAGGGGGGAGAAATATTGTCGCAATAGATGAATCTTGGGTGCATTTAAATGACTGCGATAAAAGAGATCCATTCTTTATCATCAAAGAGAACAAAATGATCTCAGAGCATGGTTCAAAGTATCTAGAGAAGTTTTTAAAAGGGATTCATGATTGCTACTGTTTTTTAATATAATAGCAAATTAAAAATAAAGACAGTGGAGAAAAATGTTAAGATCAACTCCATGTATTATTATAAAAAAATGTTTTTACCCAATTTTCAAATATAAAATAATTTCTCTTTACCCATAGTATCATCAATCAGTGGAACTGCATCAAGACAAAGCAAGCAGCCGCGCGTCAAAATCCACTGTTAATTTCGTAGGGAAAAATGGAATAAGAAACGGGTATCTAGGCTATACCCTTCACTCATGTCCCTGCGAAATTTCCTGATGTACCAACCATCGATTTTTGCGCTTTTGGACTTTTAAAAAGTGGATTGTCCAAATGTCAACCTACAATCTTCCTTGGGCTTGAGAAAGCTGTTCAAGAGGAAAGAATAAAGAATATCTTCCGATACTACAAAAGGCTTTATTGTTTTGGAAATTACGGTAGAATAAGATAGTGAAGAATAAGGATTATGAAATAGAACATTTGAAACACAAAAATTTAGGTAAAATATTTGTTTAAATATTACGAAAATCGTTTAAAGTATGTGTGAACAGCCCATAAAATATGTGTCAGATTAACAATGTAAGAAGGACGTGTAAGACGTCCTTCTTACATTGTTAATCTCAAACTATTTTTTACTGATTTTAGCTTTGGAAAACTCCTTTTCGGGTTAGCAACCAATACAGCTAAGGTAAAGCTAGTACTATAACAACATTTGGAAACGTACTGATTTATTTATTTTCATATATAGAATTTAAAAAAAAAATGTGAGGAAATCTCCTTTTACAAAAATTAGCAGGGTCTCTAATTCCTAATTAATTTAGTCATAAAATTAATATTCCGAAAGTTAGGATTATATCGCCGTTCTGCTTTAGCTGTGAACCTTCTTTTAAATTTGTTTATGCCGCAGATAAGTTTAAAATCTTTGTGTTGTGTTAACTGTGTGCAAATTTTTCTGTAAATATTGATATGGTAATGTTTGAAGAGTATAAAATAGATTTGGAAATTTAGGATAGTATCTTTTACAGATTTATTTTATATTTCATAGGGAAACATTTCCTTTTTCTCTTGCGAAATGCTGGAAAAACAGGATCGATATTGAAGTCATTTAATCTTTTCTTAGCAGAATCAATAATGTTTCCAAAATGTTGATCGATATACAGATATTTTGCAACAGTTTTCATATTGATTATCGGGTTTCACATAATTTGCTGACAACTTTTATAACGCTTAAGATGTCGTACCAAATGTTAATTGAGAAAAAGAATTTCACTAAAATTTTTTTTTGGAAATGGGTCGGCTTGAGAATCTTCAGTCGATAACTTTAGAATCATCTACCGCAATATCTAAAAGAACACGGTATATTTTCTCGATATTAAATGGTGATATCAATTCTGCTTTCTCAACTAGAGCAAAATTCCATTTTAAATTTAAATTCTAGATTTTTTTTTATGTTGCTCTGTGTTTCAGATAATGCCATATTTCTCCAAAATATTAAGTGTTCCAAATGAATTTTTAGAATTTTCATTAATTACCAAACTCGGTAGATAAAGCGCGAAAAAAGTTCTTGATTTTATCTCAATGATAATTTTGCTGAAACATATTATTTATATTAGCCACATTAATTTCAAGTATGACTACATAAAACGTAAAATTTTATTTTGAGATTGTAAAACAAGTCATATAGATGTATCTGAATTTCATGAAGATTTTGCTATCTGACTTTGAATTAGGAAACTGTTTTGGAGAGAAATTCATGTTTTGAATGACCTTTAGAAGATCGATTGATTTTCTGTATATATGCAGAAAATTATTGAATTTATTTTTTCCAAAAATTTATTATAAGATCTGTATTGCACATACAAGTACTACAAAAATTTAACGCATTTTGAACTGTTAGAATTAAATTTTATTCATAAATTTATATTTCAAACATACTTAGCTTTATGGCACATTTACGTCATCTAGTACCAGTAAATGTATTGTTTTTACGTGCGTATGGGTTCGTAATGGACTCAATGCCCACAGAGCGGATAATAACTTGATAAAATTTATTTGATCAAAACACTTTACAGTTATAGAACTTTCCACAAAAATACTCGTACAGCTCTTATCCGTGTAATAGAGCACAATCAGTAGTTATAGGTTCAAGCTACTAAGCGTTACACACAATGCAATGCAAAGCAGTTTCATAGAGCGAAGCTCACACGGAGATCTCTCAATATTCGTAAGTCAGCTGTGAACTAAAACTGAGAAATCATGATCTCTCTGGGCTTATATACTTTCCTTAAGCCGCCGAGAAATCTCTAGTACTTTCCATTTCTTGAAATTACTGGAAGGCATACACAGTTAAAGTTACATACAAAGGCCGGATACGGTTTTAGTTACATATAGGAATCAATTACAGTACCAACGATTGTTGTACAGGGACCGGGCCAGATGGTTTTGGCGACTAACCAAAAGTTTGGCACCTTTCGGCGACAGAAATTAGTCACCAAATCCATCACCAGCTTGGCGATATCTCGCCAATTTAGCGAGACAGCCATTTAACATAATGTTAAATAGACTTGCCCCTATAATCTTATTTTTCCTGCAGAGCTTCGCTATTTTTAGATTTTTCATGTTTCATTATACAAAAGATATTACAGTTTTAAACGCAACTTCACTAAAATTATTTACATATATGTATAATTCATAACAGTATGCATGTATTTCTTCTATCATATTCCCATGAAAAACAACCTCAGTTCTGTGTTTTTTACCTCTACGTACATTTATACGTCTACGTAATAAAAGTCTACGTACATTTTTTATATAAAATTTCTTATACACATGAAGCTTCCCATTTCTTTTGCGATTAGATAAGATTATTTGAATTGCATAGATTCGTCAACTGCTCTGTCAATAAGAAATTTTATTTGCAAATTTTAAGCAATTCGTATACAATATTGTATGAATATTTACTGTCTTAAATTTTTTCCTTACAATTGCAGAAGCTACATATAATTTTGATCGATTTAATGCCATAAGTATGACCATCTGATATGGATGATTACAATCAGTGTGCCAAATTTTAGTTGCAGTTTGACCAAGAATGCCTACATATAAATAACCTTTATAATTCTTTGCGGTGAAGCAAAACTGCTCCCCTTATTTGACCTCCAATCCATCCTTCTCGAAAAGGTCATTCGCATCATAAATATTGCATTTCCAATATGTCAAAGGATTCTTTCATTTCTCAAATGCTGAACGCTTTCCGAGCCCTTGCTGTCGAAAATGAGATATGCATTCAGAGCTAATATCGATATCCAAGTCCTACTAAGGTATGAAGAGTTAAATGAAATATCACAAGAATAATTAAACTTTCCTTTCATTACTTTGATTCAAAATAAAGCAAAGTTACGGTGCAGCTTGTCTCATTCCGGCTTCTGAGCATCTTAGTTGTTATGGCATTTTCTGTTAAGAGTTAAAAAGCACGAAGCCGGGTCACTCCGGAATTTAAATATTGATGTAATGTGAGAAATATTGAAGTAATGTAATATTATTACTACGGATATACGCATGCCACGGCACTGAATCATTGCTATTATTATTTTAAAATATTGAAGGATAGTAGAGAATTCTGACAATCATCTTTCTACAAATAATGAAATAAAAAAAAAATCTGGTGTGGACACCACACGACTCACTTGTGCGGCCCACTAAATTACATACATTTTTGCTGCACTTCATTTAAACTTATTTTCTAGAATTATTCTAATTTAATAAACCGATTCTTCACGGCAAGTTGAAAATGACATGAAAAATTGCGAATTCTGAAATTAAATATACCGGTCAAATTTTGTCGTACGGAAGTCAAACTTCTTGTAATTTTATTTTTTCATAACACGTACAAAACTTTCCCAAATATAAGTATAGGACCCTCATTAAAAGTTTGTAGAGACAT